ATAATTAGAAAACTGCTAAATGAAAGCACTAATTAATATGTAAATAAATAGAACAATAGTTACTAAAATAATGAAATTAATTTCAATCAGAAAATTTTGTATCCGCGGAAATACCAATAATTCTAATTGATAGAGCGTTAGTGTGAACGCATGTATGGATAGTCCAGTAATATTAATCCTAATATCTATCCAGTCTTCTGAAGTGTGATGACAAAATGGCAATTTGAATGGCGGATGTTCATTTAAATATTAGTTTCACGATATGTAGTAATAATATTATTACAGGAATACTAATTGAATGAATTGGTTAATATGAATAAAAATATGTCAGAATGAAGGCAATAATATGTTCTGGCTTTATTTTGTGGAAATCCAGAGCAATAAAAATCAGAACAAGGAAGATTTAAAAAAAATTAAATCACGATTCGAACACCATTATTGAGTATGGCATCTACACAAACCCAATGTTGAAATACCAAACTGATTTCTCACCTACATAATCACTTAATATGTCGTAATTGCATAAATGATATAACAAAATGTAGGAAATAATCCCGCATACAACTCGAAATAGGATTTGAGAACAAACACCATACCACTTCAAACGCATCTTAAAGAATTTAAAAAATAGCATCGCTGATATCCGTTGCAGCCGGAAGACGGGAAACGCAGTAAAACTAATCTTGATATCTTCTCCTTGGCAATACGTACAAACACAAACTTCTTTAGTTACTAATACGTACAAACGCGAAAAATATATTTCTATTGCATTTCGTGCTCGCTTCTTGGTCTGCATTGATACTTGCTTGGGGGGGAGTATGTTGCCGCAGGCCGCGGGTTGGGCACCTCTGACCTAAACGGCACGGTTTCAAACGAGCAGGAGCTCCCATTAGAATACCAGCTGAAAAATGGGTGGAAGTGCAAAGTGTTTCTCATCTTTTTAAGTGAACTTTACTTTTCTTCAGATACTCCTCTGAAGAAAGCGAACCAGCTAGGCCATAAATCTCCTCTTTTTATTTTCGCCGCATTTTTTGGGGTTGGTAACACGGAGCGATGAGTTCCTGTCGGAAGTAACGATCTAGGCCATATTTTACCCGGATGAGTAGGTCTCATTGCTGGTCTCTGTCGATACTTTTCAAATCGACGAATCTTTCCCGGGGAAAATGGTGAAATAATTAGCCATATCCTATTCTGAATCATGTTTTGACTGTTGAAAGAACTCACTGTTTATTTACTGAAGCCAATTCGGAGACTTCTAACAAGTTCACAGAAATGAAACCTTCTTTACACTATATACTAACACATATTGGTACAGTGAAAATGTTTGGCAGCATAGCTAGTCGAGTGGCAGTATAAAATGAAGGACATCTAGCACAGGGCCTTTTTAAGTATTTGTGTGGTCCCCGCAAGGAGTTGGGATTTGGGGGCCCCCGACGAGATCCTCTTCAAAGCTATGGTTTTCTACAGAAAGTATTTATATACTATTATGATATTTATTGCCATTAATACTTTTATTTTGAAAACAGTAATTGTAAGCATTTACATAACAGTATTTCGTATATTCCAATTCAGAAGTCAAACAACAAAAATCAGCGTTATATTTACAAAATTTTCACAGGACTAGTTTCGATGGTTTTACCGAACCACCATCTTTAGCTGCAAAACCGCAAATGAACCAGATAGGAAATAATGATTAGATAAGATAAGAAAGCCTGGACAAGAATAAGCAAGTGGCGCCATCTGTTGGTGAAACCAGAACTAAAACATAATTTCTTTAAAGGCCGAAGGCAAATTTGGATTGGAATTAGGATCGTTAACTAGAACAGAAAGATTTTTATGAATGTGAAATGCCTCTAGAAAATCCAGTTCTCCAATGGAAGATGTTTTTTGAATAATTTTGGCAGCAGAAAAACTGAAAGTGTGCTTTTCGGACCAACAATGTTGAGCAACAGAAGACTTCTGTGTTTCCTTTTTTCTAACATATGCCTCATGTTCCTTGACGCGAAATTTTAAGGCTCTCTTAGTTTGTCCAATGTAAATTAAACCACACCGTCAAGGAATCCTGTAAATACCCCAGAAATTCATATCCGGAATGGGGTCCTTGAGTATGGAACTCGGAATTTTATACTCAAGGACCCCATTCCGGATATGAATTCCTGGGGTATTTATAGAATTCCTTGCCAGTGTGGTTTAATTTACATTGGCCAAACTAAGAGAGCCTTAAATTTCGCGTCAAGGAACATGAGGCATATGTTAGAAAAAAGGAAACACAGAAGTCTTCTGTTGCTCAACATTGTTGGTCCGAAAACCACACTTCCAGTTTTCTGCTGCCAAAATTATTCAAAAAACATCTTCCATTGGAGAACTGGATTTTCTAGAGGCATTTCACATTCATAAAATCTTTCTGTTCTAGTTAACGATCCTAATTCCAATCCAAATTTGCCTTCGGCCTTTAAAGAAATTATGTTTTAGTTCTGGTTTCACCAACAGATGGCGCCACTTGCTTATTCTTGTCCAGGCTTTCTTATCTTATCTAATCATTATTTCCTATCTGGTTCATTTGCGGTTTTGCAGCTGAAGATGGTGGTTCGGTAAAACCATCGAAACTAGTCCTGTGAAAAATTTTGAAAATATAACGCTGATTTTTGTTGTTTGACTTCTGAATTGGTATTTATTCGGCGTGTTATTGTGTCTTAATTATTTCGTATATTGTAAGTAAATTAAATTTGAAGTTGCGTCTTCTCATTCATCTGTTTTCGTTATCTTTACATTTTTATTTAAAGAAAGATGCTTTCTTCAGTAACTCTGGTTATATTTATAAGCTCTGTTGCATTATCATCTGCTCTCTCTTACTTCCTTAAAATTGAATATAGTTTTCCAGAACCGGAGCTTTGCCCGCCTTATTTCCCATTTCATTCCATTGGTGACACATAATGACACTGTCAGCTGGCGCTCCCTTCAAACATTTACTTAATCTGCTTTCCTATCGTGATGTTTGCTTCAGCAAATCCATCTTATACTTCCTTTTTACGCTTTAACTGATAAGACAGACCCCATCTACATCGAACAAAAACTTTTTACAAACAAAAAATATGTGGGTTAGAAATTCACGGTGGATTAATATATTTATATGGTCATATACGTAATAACATGCGGATATTTTTGTCAGAAATCTAGTTTATATAGTGCAAAAAGATTCTACCCATAAAACATCTGTTCTTAGACACAGCATATTAATGCTTTTGTCAAATTTGTCTATGCATAAGACTTTTCGATTCCATAGACATATTTTCCTTTTAAATCATAATTTCGGATAAACTTACCTTGGAACACTGGGTGTGCGATAAATCGTATAGTTTTCCAAAGAATATATTTCCTTTATTTCTACAAGTGCCATTCTGAGAATTGAGCAATAAAATATGAATAATATCGAGGAAAAACAACTGAACAACAACGACAACAACAAAAAAAAAGAAGCTTACGGATGAAATCCGTTTTCTAAATTTAAATTTAAATCTCTAAGAGTATATATGCTAAAATTTTAATGACAATCGGATGGGTTTTGTCTTCAACATATTTCAAGGACCTGAAAATTGCAGCTAAAAGGCGCGTTACTAGAGATCTTTGACCTATAGTTATGTTGTTGATTACTAAGGAAAAATGAAAACGATTTTTCAAATAATAATAATTTTTGTCAAGCCTGAATTAATAAGTAAGCAATACTTGCAAGTGCTTATAGGGTTACAACCCGAAAGACAACAAAAGAGATTTTCTTGCTAGAAAAACTGAGAAGTCAAAATTCATCTGCCCTTCCTTTCTCTACATTTAAATTAACAAAGTTTAAGAACTGTTAAAATTAGGGTATCGGTTCTGATTTGAAATAAAGCATCAACTGATTTTAATCAAGTAGTTTTTTTTGGGGGGTGGGGTCGGTTATTTGAGGCATTATGCTTTTTTTCGGGGCAGGAAACATGACAAATTAAACCGCGAATCTTCTGGTGCTGATTGGGAATATTATTAGTTACACCACAAGAGCAAGAACATATAAGCATTAATCCCTTATCTTTTCACTCTTTGTACTGGAGACAAATAAATAAATCTAGGGACGGTTCCAAGGATGTGCAGCCTGTGCCGAGGCACAAGGCGCAGAGCGTGTAGAGGCGTCACTTGCAGGAGCCCCGATTTCTAATTATAAATTTGAAAGGGGAACGATTTATTTGACTTTTCTATATACAATAAGAGGGCGGTAGCCGAGCCGCAACCTCAGATAATAGAAATGAAATATATACATGATATATAAAAATGACAAAACTGGCAAAATATTATGGTCATCTAAGGAATATATGAGAAGAAAGGTTTTACTTGAATCTTGATACCCAACACATTAATAATGAACAATGAAAAAATTCTTTCAAACGGATTCAATTTTCATGTTTTAAAATATTATAGTTTTTAGTAAGTTTGCTTTCAGATGCGATCAAACATACGCAAAATCTTATCCCGGCTATCCGCAAAAGAAAAATCTGACTAATTTAGCAAGTGAGCGTTTGCATAGAGGGTTAACTTTCCTTAAGATCTGTCAAACTACTTTAACATTTAGACGATCTGGTGGAGGGTCTTGTCAGTAACAAATGTGTAATAGAATTTTAAATTCAGTGTCTGAGAAAATTCAATGAAAATGCTTTCTAAAAAAGCACGTTTAAATTTGTTAACTTTAGTTCACTGTCAAATTCGAATTTAAGATGCTTTTGCTCAAATACTTTCATTTAAAAATTGCATAATTACTGAAGTTTTAAAATCGTAAGCTCCTTTTTGTACAAATGAAGTCTTTTAAGGGCGCAGCTGTCATGGCATAATGCTTACATGCATAAACTGCAAGCTTATACAGTCCTAAAGTCTCATATGGATGAAATTCATAAATGCTACACAACAATACTCGCAACTTCCTCTTCTGAGAAAACATTTATAAAAAATGTATTTTTGAAATTATAAATTCTTCATTCACCAGAAATAAAATGATTTATTTACCACAATATAATCACGATTTATAACAGCAATAAATTAAATTTTGAAGGAAATCGGAGATGATACAGCACTGACACCTTCCTGCTTTCAAAAAACATTTTTGAAACTCTATTTTTGAAAATATTGATTTTCCATTTGCCAGAAATAAAAAGATTTATTCACCGTAACATAATCACAATTTACAATAACAATAAATTAAATTTTGAAGGAAATCGGAGAATTTATGTTTTAATAGATCAGAGCCTTGCCAATACCAGCTCCATATCCGTATCCCAGACCATAGCCATAGCCCAGAGCGGCTCCATGTCCAATGGCACCTCCATATGTAACAGGAGCTGCAGCAGCTACAACTGGAGCGGCGACAGCATGTCCATAGACTGCAGTGGCAACAGGGGCAATGTGATCGACAGATGGTCCAGCGTAAGGGCTAGCGATGAGGGCTGCAGCTGGGGTGCTGGCAGCGGTTCCTGGTTCGTTGGTCTTGACGGCAGCACGGAATCCAAGTTTATCAGCAACGTAGTCTACGCGTCTGGCTCTGCCGTCGATGTCGTGGATGGTGTAGGTTCCCTTCTTGTTACCATAACCATCACCTACTTCAGATCGGAGTTGGAAGCTCCGAGTTGTCAACGATGTCATAGTTAAAAGCATAGTTCCATAAGCCTGGAATAAAAGACATTATTTACTAAAAATACTTCAAAGGAAATTAAAACTACTATTTAAAAATGGAATTAAACGAACTAGAAATGAATGAACCTCGAAGGAATTACGTGAAATCGTATTTATCGATTCCATTCATAACAGAAATCTCTTCATTCTCTTACACGACATGTTAACAAAAATGAAAGTTTTACCTAACCTTGCATCAAAATATTTACACGTTATCCTGAATTTGTCCAGAGAAACTTGACGTGAATAATCCAGAAGCATTAGAATTGTGATAGCTGAGTACTATTGTTGATATAGAAAATGGGAACTAAAGTAGAGTTTGATAGAGTATTATGTAACACCCGATATAAGTTTTCTGAATGGCATTTTTACGGACAAAGACACATTTACCGAAAAATTTTTTAAAAGCACCATGGATTTGAAGTAAATAAATAAAAATCCTAATCTTTTTTTAATTAAAATTTTTTTAATAATTAAGTTAATAATAAAGAGTAGTCTAAATTATTAGTCTTAATATTAAGTCTAAATTAGTAGTCTTAATTATTAAAAAACTAATAAAGTTTTTTTAATAATTAAGTTAATAATAAAGGTCGTTTTATATTTGTCGAAGAAAGGCTTTTAACTGCTGACTAATTAAATTTATATCTTGAATGGTAAATTATACTAGTGAGTGAATCGCTTTTAATAAGTATTGCAAATATTATGATATATTGCGTTAAGCAAATTTCTGAGGCTAAATAGAAACCTGAAACTAAAACTTTCATCAAAAGTTAAATTGGAATAAATTATTTAATGCCATAAAATATACATGAAAACGAGTTTTACTCCGAGTTCCGACAGAGGGGATAGAATCTCATGAAATCTATACCTATATGCTTCTGTTAGAAATTTGCGGAGAGAAATTTTTGAAAATTGTTTATAACTCTATTTCTCATCATATCGTACTTCTTGAACTAAAAATTACTCACCAATCGCTCAGTGTAAGACATTAAATCAGCCAGTATATATATATATATCCGGAATAAAAATCTTCTCATGACTCTCTTTCCGTATATTAAATACATTTTCACATAATTTAAATATTGCATGCTGTAGATGATGTTTCCAGCTCCGTTTCCAATTCTAACTGTAAGGATGTAATATTTATTGTAAGCTACATTTTTATAAATTATTTTCAGAGCTTGAGAAAAGAAAAAAGGATTTACTCAATTTTTGAAAAACGTTTTCATTCAAAATTTTTCAGGTGTAGAGTCCATTTATTGTTACTTTAAAAACTTTTCATAACATTTTATTAATTATTGCGATATTAAGACTTCAACTAGCAACTCTGGAAAACGAAATTTCTGACTTCTGGTAAATAATTAACAAACATCTTTCAAAAATTAGCTTTTAATAAAAACTGGTAAGTAATCATTCTCGGTATACTAATATTTAAAATCTATAATAATTACGAATTTCTTTAATAATTACGAATTTCTTTACATAATTTCAATAGATGTTTTGCAAATAATAATTGTTTAAACACTTTAAAGAAAATGAACTTACATCTTGTGTCCTAGAACTGGCGCTGACTCCAGTACTAACAAGGGGTGCCTTCAGAAGAACACTAGCATGGGAAGCTGCAAGAGCAGCGCACAAGAAAACAACCTACAAGAAAATAAATAACATTACCTTAGGAAACGCAAGGAAACAAATTTTGAAAAAAAATTGTATTTAAATTAAACATCCTGTTGGGAAATTTTCAGAATATGACAAAAATTGTACACTGTTTTTGTATCACAACTGTAAAATTAAACAGCATTCATTTAAGTCCAAATAACAGGAAATGAAATGATTCGAAAGATTTAGGACTAGAAAACGGGAAAAGGAATTTTATACTCCTATGAGATGCTTGTCTCCAAATAAATTAAAAAAATTATTTTAAATAAATAAATTAAAAAATTAAAAAAGTATTTTAAAGTGATTTGAATATAAAAGTATTAAGTAAGTAATATTTGCAAGCTTACTCTTTTATAAACATAATGGAATGCTAGAAACATGATTATATAAATTCCATATACCTTGGATTAAAAAAATATTTATTTTTATTTCCTGATCTACTTAAAAAATAAATGTAGCGCAGACGGGAATATTCAGTTTCTATTTATCTCGTTGTTAGATTAAATTCTGATAACTTACTGGCTATTAGTATAAACCTATCAGTACAAAATTTTATATGATAAGTCTCTGCTTTAAATTTATTTTACGACTTCATAAACTCCGATTTTTCTTAAGTGGCAATTTAATTTTAATTGAATATCCTAAAATCAAAATGAATGAATTAATTAATGTATGTTACATGTTTAAATTTTTGAAAAATTGCAAGAAATAACAAATTTAATAGCATAAGCTTATCTGAAGATTCAAACTATTATAATTATTTCAATTTTTGATATTTCTAACCGAATTAAATTCTCTGCTTTATAGTCAATACGAAATCAAAATGCACACATACAAAGTTTTTTAAAAAAAGTTGTGAAACTTCCTTTCGTTCAACTATTATCTCCCTATTTTGTTTGTATGAATGATTGAATACTTTCTTTAAATGCGTTTTAGTAGTTTTAAGATAAGCATAGAGAATGTGTTTATTTTTAGTTGAAAAATTTTGATAATTCGAAATGCTCTAGAAAAATAAGTACTAGAGAAAAAGTAACAGCATTTTAGACTGAATTATGTAAATGAATTTAAAATTTAATTTTCGCAGTAACAGTTTTATAGCTATAAAGCATAAAATACTCTTTCATTGCAACCTATTGCATAATTTAAGATAAAATGTTACGTCATTTAAAATGCGTTATTTACGTTATTTAAGATGCATTACTTTTACGTTTTTTAAGATAAAAGTATTTTTTTCGCTCTTTCACGCAGTTTTATAAATAAAATTTGCATAAATGATTTTGCTTATTGTATCGAGCTGATGCTTATGTTTATAAATTTTCAAATCTACAAGTTAAAAATAGAATTTTTATTAATGTTCTGCTCGTTAAACTTATTTTAATAATAAAATGCGCGATAATTTTATCAATGAATGGGAAATCATTGCTACTAAAGTACTAATTTATAGAATAGAAGATAACGTAATTTTAAATTTCCGAAAAGAAATATTATTAGAAATTACAAAATATGTTTGCTATATATACTTATGAATTGCGAGAAACCTTACACCAGTTTCTTCATCAGTTTCAATACAATTCTAAGAAAATTTACGTCCTATAAATTATCAAAGGCACTGATATCAATACTGTTTTTTACATTAAAGTTTCAACCTTAAATATGATAATGAATTCGACGAATTTTTGCAAATTTTCGAAAACTGTGAAAAACATGAAAGAAAAAAGAGATTTTTTTCTCTCAAAATAACAATAATATTTGACAGATATTAAAACGAAAATAAATGCCACGAGAAAGATGTCATGAGAGAGAGTCCATATCACCTCTTTTTCGCTTCATGACTAATGCCATTTTGATTTCAAATAATTAATTTAGTGTGTTTTTAGCTCAAGAAAGAAAATGAAAACATTTAAATTAAATTATGTTTATTATTTGGGTAAAATCGCTAACCTTTCCATAGACGCTATATTACAACTAATTCCAAATTTCATAATGGGGGAAAATTTCAAATTATGTTAATGTAAAAAAGTCAGTTAAGTTTCATTAATGCAAATTATCTATAAAACTAAATCTGTTCTTACCTTTGCGATCATGGTGAATGTGTGATTTCTATTTCCAGAATGAAAACCTTACACTTCTTCTAAGCTTTTATATTCCTCGTAATCGGTTTTTTAGGTCATTTTTAATTATCAAAAGTAATTATCGATTTTAAACCTGCGAAAACCGGAAGGAAACCTTTTTTCTGGATTTACAACAAATATGGCATTGACAATGTCGCGACCTTGCCGTTACATAAACAGTAAACTTACCTACACTGAATGCAGTCCATATCACCTATTGAATTCCCTTCGAAATGGCATTGAGCCGTATGGTTCAGATTTACCTTTAGCAAGTTTTGTTTTCATATTTTTAATAGACTAGTTTTTCAACACAATCATGAAATCTTTTGTATCAGTCTTTCGTTATTTGTAAGAACATACCTTTTAATCTGAAATGCGACGAAATGTGAAAGCCCGTTTAACGTGTGTGTATCGAAGTGCAATCAATCAGTTTTTTACGATGTTTAAGAAGATAAAAAAAAGTACGTAAGCTAAAAAATAAACAAACTTTGCTCCTTTTTACTTACTTGTACAAAGTAAAAAGGAAGTATTGTAATCGCGAAAAGTTTCAGGCAGCATATTTCAACGAAAATATCCATTTTGACCGCTATCGAATGCAATTTAACGATGTCTTTGCGTGATATCTGTACGTAAGCACAGAATAAAATACTCTTTTCCTTCAAAAAAATTATAAAACTGCTTTAAAATTAATTCTGAAGAGAATTTTTCGTGGCGTCTGTACGAACGTATCTCGCATAACTCAAAAACGAGTAGCCTCAGAACGTTGAAATTTTGTATATAGGACTGCTATAACATGTAGATGTGCACCTCGTATTTTGGTTGCAATCGGCCGCCCCAAACGTATATAAATATATTTATATATATATCCACTTTGTTACCCGGCTCAGTGATCTCAGTTTCTTTACTCTTATATGTTGGTAAATTGTACATTTTTTGCTTTAAAAATGATTGAATTATGTTGTTTTTATCTTCCGGTTAAGGATTTTATGCCTTTAGTAAATCTGTGTGCAATATTTTTTAGAATTATCAGCAATTTTAAAGTTGTTTAATTGCCGCTAAGCCTGTTTTTAATGGCGGCCATTGATGTTTACATTTGAAACAAATTTAAATTAAATTTGGATTTGTCGCCAATCTAGAGAAACTTAGCTTCGCAACAACAAAGATAACGCATTCATTTATTATTGCCAATTAAATCGTACTTAATTCTTTCTGGAATTTTTTCGAGGAAATAAGCGTTTGAGATTTACTTCGTAATTTTTAATATAGATATTTTGAGTTTTTATGTATTTTTGCCTTCTCGCGAAGTGAGAACTGAATTAATTAAATGAGAAATACTCAATCGTCTGTGAAAAACTGTTTCTGTTTTGTTTTGTTTGCTTAATTTCTTTATACATAGTTCTAGCTTTATTATAGTATTTGAATAGAACATGTGGCAACGATTAGATAATTTTTTAAATGATATACATTTTCTGCATTCTGAGTTATAATATGAATGAAATATAATACTGTTTATAAACCTAGTGCCAGAGTGTTGCTATGATAAACAAAGTGAATTTTAAAGAATGCATTTATTCTATTGTGGTTTATGCGCTGTCGGCGAAGTAGGTTTAACTCAATCTCATAAGTTTAAATAAAATGCAAGAAAAAATGCGTATAATTTAATATTCCGTACAAGGAAGTCATGTGGTGTACACATCAGATTTTTTTTATTGCTAAAACATTACTTACAAAAGTAAATATCTGCTAACCAAAGTAAACACCTGGAAAGGTATAATCTTAAAAAAAATCAGCGATTTTTTTTTTCATTAAAATTTCAGTAAATATTTTTTTGATAACAAATTTCGTTTCAAATCGATTACCACTAACCCTACAGAAAGGGATTTTAACAACTAATTACAGACGAGAATGTAAACAACAAAGCTATAGGATTTTACGAGTGGTAAATACTGGTGTTGTAATGAAACTAAAGACATTTAAACTTGCTCCTGAATAATTACAGTGTGTCGAGACTGAGCTCGTGGTCAGAGAAGACAACATGTGGTAACAAAATGCTATTTTCCAGTACTTTTCCGATTTTGAGTAAAAGCGTTTCCGTAGATGGAATCTAAACTTGTCAACTCTTGACAAGGTTACGAAACACTGGTGGTTCTTCATGAAATTTGTTCTTTGTAATTAAACCAGCTAGCTGTATATGATTTTTATCTTTTTTCATGTGCGTAACTAATAAGTTATCATCAAATAATCTTCCTCGAAGTCATCCTTTCTAAAGCAGATACCTCTTAGAGTTCTTTGCTGAGGTAAATAACTTAATGTATCTAACAGCAGCATAAAAATCATATAATTTAATTAATTCTTTAATCTATTTTAATTAACTAACAGGGAAACTTCAAATATTTGGAAAGTCTGAAGTCATAGCCCGTAAGGATACTTGAAAAATCCTCATTGTCCCTCCTATTTGTGTAGACCAGATGCATACTTACCGTACTGAAATTTGAGAGAATATTATTTTTTCGTTTATTGAGTATAATTTTAACTAAGATTTTGTACAGGTTAACAAATATTCTGGAAAGAAAATATAATCTCACAATTTCTCAACAAAACTGAAGAAGACAAATTATTACTTTTTTTGACTAAACATACGCCCCATTTCTATTTCAACTAAAATAAAGCTACGAATTTAAATTTTATTCACCTAGGTGCTCTAGACATAAATAGATAGCCTTATTTATATTTTTATTGTTAGGGTATCCGAATACGTTCTAGTCGTCAGTTTTGATGAAATTTTTCTACTAAAGTACTTTTATAACTTTGTTTTAAAGCTTAAAGTGACAAATGTAAAAGTAAAATATTGATAAATGCTTTTGTGGGAACGTATCTCGTAATCCTGAAATTTAACACATTTTTAGCAAAAATGTAAAAATAAAACCAATACTAAAAATTATACGTTTGCTAATCAGTTTATCGCATATTTTTATTATTTTACGTATTTATTCTGCTAAATAACAACAACATTTATTTCTGCTATTTTCCAAAATTTGGGTGTTGAATGTATAGTCGGATACCTTAACGGGGCTCATACGCCTTAAACCCCTTAGGATCTTCGAATGTGTGACTGTTGCAAAAATTGGAATATTTTAGTTATTTTAAAAACAATTACTTCCAACTTTTTAAAGCTGACTACATAATATAGCTGCTTTGGAAAATAGTAACCTGAAAGTTTGTGTTGCCACAAATATTTTTGAAATTTAAACTTGTGACAAAATGTTCCGTCACGTGTTCCACTTAATTTGCTAAAATTTAAAAATGGCGTAATTTGTAATCCACCTGATTGCGCGCATGATATTTTAAAAATGGCTAATTGTACTCGTATATACTTGAAATTCGATGGAATTCTTTATATGGGTACTTTTTTCTAACTGAACAAAATAAAATGATTGCTGAATATTTTAATAATAAAATTTTATGGACGAAAACATTACATTTTTTTAATTTTTTAATAAATACATTTTATAAACTCAACTCCAAATAAAATAAAAATTTAACTTGAAATTCTTAGAATTTTTGGTTCACAGTTCTTTACAAATTTTATAAAGCTAATATTTTAAATATGGAATTAAACTTATGAGCAGAAATGTTTTAAACTGTGCGCACCCAAGTTTGAAACATGACGAAAAATGTTGTCACAAAGCGAAAAGGATTAATTATCAAATATTTGTGCAACACAAACTTTCTTGATTACTATTTCAGAAAGCAGCTATATTATGTAGTCAGCTGCAAAAAGTTGGCAGTAGTAATTGCTTTTAAATAAATAAAGTTATCCCAATTCTTGAAACAGTCACCTATTCGTCACCCCTTATGGGTTTTTTAGGTGTATGAGTCCCCTTAAAAACATAAAAAAAAAAAAAAAAATATTCATGTAAAATAATAAAAGTATACAAAAGTTTTTAATTCAATTTTGTAATGCATTTTTTTTTATTATTATTTTAATGGAAAGGAAACCTTATAAATACAGCAGTCTGGATTCAGAATAGAATCTTGGCTGCAAAGTTGCTACTCATTTAGCACTACCCAAGGAACACATGTAGCTTACTAAGGAGTGCTAAGATGCGAGTAACATTGCTCCGGAGACTACCTCAGAAGCAGCGCTGTTGCTGCCTTTCGTCTAGCTACAATGCATGACTGTTTATATATGCACACATTCACAGATTCCAAATAATTAATAGTCCTGCCTGTCCCCTTTTGCTGCAGTGGTGCGATGATGAACGCTGAGCATCTCCTTGTCTGCTCAATACTCTCCCAGAACAGTATTTTTTTTTTTTTCCTTCGTATTCTGGAGGCTAGAGATCTTTTAAACAGATTGCAGACTTGATCTTGTTTTTACTTTATATATAATCTTTACCCATTATATTTTTCTTTTTGTGTAATTCTCCTTTGTACTTCAGACTTCTGTGTGTAAACTATTGTATTATGTATTCTGTTGCATTATTATTGGATTTTTTTATAGTTTCTGGATCTCCGCGTGGCATAAGGATACTTGTCTATGTATTGCCCGTTGCATTAGAAATGAAAACAAAGCACGGTCTTTTTTTTATTTTGGAGAAGCCGTCCGAACTTGGCCAACCATTGCAAATATTTAAAAAAATCAACTTAACATGTTTTGTAAAAATGGATTGCATTGTATTACCATTTCTATACTATTTAAATCAAGTAATTTTTAGCATGTATAAAACATGCAGTTAATTTAATTTTATAAAGAAGAAGTTTTCGGGATATTAGAGTTCGGCATAAGTTGGATATGCACTACATTTGACTGTTAAAGCTTGAAAACGAGAAATGAATCGGAAATGAGGAATGAATGCGGAAAATGAGAAAGCTGTGCAAATACACTACATGATGATATGGCCGAAGTTTTCTTTTCCTCAAAGGCATATTTTCAACAGTTTAGTAAAAATCGTAAGAAAATACAATTTGTTGCTTGAAATGCACCTATTTTTCTTTGAAAGGT